CCCCTTTTCTCAGTTTCTAAGACTTCGTCGTTCTGTACACCGCTCGTCAAAAGTTTTTGGAGCACTTTTAATGTAACGTCCAGACGTACAATATAAAAATAATTCTCTAAAGAAAGTTCCTAGCTCTTTCCGCTACCCTTTCTCTCCAATAGTGAAAACATTATTGAACATTATAAGCAGGGCGTGAGGCACTGGTGTTCACATGCTGTGAAAATGTCCCAAGTTTTCCAAGAATGTTTTCGAAGATGGAGGATTGGAAATGTCGTAGCAACGGAAACGTTTCCTCAATTAAATCGCCTAACAAACTAGATCCAGTGATTTAATGAACTCATCAAATGATTTAACACTTCACTTTGAACTCACCATAAGCAATTGGAGTCAATTTGAAGACTGTGTGAAGAGGAATGTGAAGATTTGGAAGTTCTCCTAAAGAGAGAACACAAGTTATTTCTTTTTGCTATAGGACTTATCTATGCTATAATCTGATATTGGAGCTAGATTTGATTGTAAGAGTTAGTCTGCAAAACGTACCTGAACTGTGGTCCAGGAAGTATGCCATAAGACACTGCAGGATAACCTATACAAAGAACAAAGTAAAACGTGACCGCGTCAAAACAAGATGATTAATTGCTTTCTAGTTTGTTTGTTTGTTGTTGCTTTTTTGTTTGTTTGTTTGCTTGTTTGCTTGTTCTCAATTATCAGTTTAAGGAAAAAACAAACAAACTAAACCAAACATAAACACCAAAAAGAAGAAAAGCGAGGACTGGGAAAAAGAAAAGAAACAAGCAAACAAACAAAACGGTTCCTTTGTTATTTGAGTCACTGTATCAAATCACGAAAGATGAGAGCATAGCGGTCAGGCAAAGGATGAAGCCAGCGAATTGGGACGAAAACTTACCTCGTGACATATGACCAAGACATTGGACTGCCTTTCTAATTCCTAAAGTAAAACAAAGTAAGAAGACATATTAAAATGTATTATAAACGTTTAAGTTCGTGAACTATGCAGAAATTGCTCTGGATTGTCAACTTACCATTATAACTGATTCTAGTCGAGCGCACACGTCACTGTACGACTAAACCAGGACAAAGAAAAAGTAAAGATCTTAGAATTAATTGATTGATTGATTTAGATTTTTTTCCTCTAGTTTATTCCACGAGGGCCATAGATTCATCAGTGTTTCTATACAACTGCCGAGTGCTATCCCTGTAAATAAAGCCTAACAATAACATAAAATAAGGGAGCTTCTCGATTCATTGTCGTAAACTGTTGGCCAAAATATTCATGACATTCAACCAGAACTAAGGTACATGCCACATTGTGAGGGGGAAAGAGCGAAATTCATCGCAAAAAGGACACGTTACCTCTCCCCTGGGGTATCGATAATTAAACGGATGTTCTTCAATAACTTTGTGTTCTTCAGGGTCCATCTTTTTAATCTCATCCAGAGTCA